TATATTATCTTATATTATATTATATATATATATATACACACATATAAACACTGCAAACCCTAAACTCTAGAACCCCAGAACCCCTAGAACGCTAGAACGCACAGCCCGACGAAACTCTCAAAAGGTCTCCGGTGCAGTCCTTGCTGGGGGCCTGGCTGGGCGGAGCTTCGACCTGGCAACAGCATCTCAGCGCCTCGCATTACGCATAGGTAGGGTTTAGGGAGAAACCCTAAACCTTACCTATGCGTAATGCAAGGCGCTGAGAGGACTCTGGCGACTCGAACGATGCAGGCGAGGCGTTTCGGGTTTAGGGGAAAAGGAAGAATAAGGATACGAGCAACAGTCATGACAGTCATACTGACAATGACAAGAAAGACTATCCACATCATCATGATGGCAACGACAGGAATGGCAATGCTTTTGGTAATGCTGCATGGTGATGATGACAAGCACGGCAACAATAGCATAGGCACAACACAAGTAGCGATGATGACAATGATAGTAACACTACGACTGACAACAATTTCCATTCTACCGGCAGTAATACTGATATTGACTATGGTTCACAGTGATAGTAGCGATTAGAATGACGATGATAGCAACAGGCAACAAGGTAACACTAGATACAATAGACGCAATCGACCTGACAATAGTCAAGCTGCGGTTATACAATTGCTCCGCAAGTGCAGGCTCACAAGGGCTTCGACTCGTTTCCTCTCAGCCGGGGCTTTCAGGGCTGCAGCTGCGCCACTGGAGTTCCGTGTCCAGGTCTCTGCCTTACATGCCATGGGCAGAAGCGGAGGGAAACGGAAGGAAGGGAGCCATGAAGGGCAAACGAAACAAAGAGACAGATGCGAAACAGGTCAGGAAAGGATGGAGAGGGAGTGACGCAGACGACGGAGACAGGCGAATGGGAAGGCAGCAAAACGACCAGCAAACCTGCATAAGTGCATGCTCGACATCAGTCAGGCGAATCATCAAGACTTGCTAGACTTGCAAACTTACATCACAACTAGACCTTTGTTCATTACTCCCGCGCTGCTTGGCCACTGCACCCGTCATCCGATCTTTAGTTGTTCGGGCGCATTAACAGCCAATCATACTGCACTCCAAACGTAAACACAAGTTGAGGGAAGCGTGTCCTTGGTTTGCCAGGGCGGGCACTTGGCTCGGCTGAACCGCGGTTGGCAGTAGGCCTCATCTTCAACAAAAGCCCTTCAACCCCACACACCAAACACCGGTGCATGGCAGCACTAAGATCACTACCAGAAGCAATGCAGCCAGCACCAGATGTATCATAAGAAGACAAAGCAGGCGCGACATAGCCTCGGGCAGCGCCTCTTGTAAAAGAGCGCATGATCCGGCCGCCTGCCTCGTTGTAGGTGCGAGTGATGCCCAGCCGTTCCAAGAATACCTTGACTATGGAAGGTGAAATCAAAGGCCTGGTCTCGGCTTCCCTTGGAAGGAGCTTCCCATCTTCTTGGTCTCCGCGCATCTCCAGACCGCAGCAGCGCAAGGCCGCCGAACTTGCCTGCCTGCGGACGTACACCGGCTTTCGGATCTTTGACTGTCGGCACCGCAACCAACATGACGGCACCTGTAAGGGCTGCATTTTCGAGCAACGCTGGCACATGCCATGTTAGCACGCCATAGCACAGCGAGTCGGGAGGGCAAGTACTTCTGTACAGCCTTGGGAGCTATTTGCATCCCGCAGCACCAGGACAAGTAAAGTTGAGTGCAAGGAGGCAACGCAAAGTTCACAGCCTGCAGCAAGGTCCGGACAGCGTCATGGAGCTAGTCGGTCCAGAGTGAAACTGAGCAATTGTTACGGATTGTATTCAACTGCTCGAGAACCTGGGTGGCACATCATTCTGCTAACTTCCTTTCCGGTAGCTCCACCTTGCTGCTCTGATACAGCTATTGTACACGATGAGCCTTCACAGACAGAGTCGACTTCATGCAGTCTGAATCAGACGGGAGATCCTGCAGATCCTGCGGGTGACATCGGTGGTTAGTGAATGACACTGTGTGTATGACATGCTCTGGAGCTGTCCTGCCTTATAGCTCCAGGCATCTACGATGTGCCAGCTTGTGGTTGCTCCTGCCGTCCCCTACATAGCCCGCTTCTTTAGTTGGACATGATCTGCCTGGCAGCATGAGACTGTCAGGAGTGTTGACGGCAGCATTGCATCCTTCATTGAGAGAGCCAGCTGCAACGGCTGCTGCTGTCGACGTTCCACCACTTCCTTCCAAAGCCTTTCACGGAGCATGGCTGAAGCCCGCACAATGCGCCGCCTGTCGCAGTCGCAGCCAGGCAGCTCACGCTCGTGCTTCACGCGCTCCAGCTGTGACTCAATGTGCTGCTGGGAAATCTGCAAGAGACGAAGAACGCTGTGGTCAGCTTTCTTTGCAACCATATCCTGAGAACAGGATAATGACATAAATGACGTAAATGACAAAAACAGCTCATGCGTCACAACCTTGTCACTCGTTGAAAAAACAGCCGATGGAGCGGCAGCACTCTCAGTAGCTTCGGCACAGTGCATGGCTAAGGAAGTCACCAAGATGTTACGGAAACGTTGGGAACAGCGTTGGCGCCATGCTTTGTCGACACGGAAAGACATGTTCTCCGCGCACTCCTCCAACAGGGTGGCGCACTCCCGCCTTTTGTGCCCTTGTCTTCTCCAAGCCCTGTACGTCCCTTTCTGCAGCAATGCAGCAACCTATTGAAGAGGTTTCACTTACGGGTAGATGTCTGTGAGAACTACCAGCCCTCAGAATGACTGCACACAGCCCATATCGCCAGCCTCCCAGCCCAAGAGCTCAACATCAGCTTCACCTTGATCAGCACCTTCTGCATCATCGAACTTGGGGCCGGGGAAGACTCCAACCACCTGGGCCGCTGGGCCGCTGGGAGGCGACAAACAAAGCACTCGGACCCGTCCTGGGCAAACTTGACCACACCACGAGTCAGCGCAGCCGTGCAATGCTTCAAATCCTCAAAAGGCTTCTCGTTCACCTGGGGTAAGGCGAATTTTCGACACGGCTTCTTCATGCTTCTTCCCAAGCTACGTTGCGACATGACTCCGAGCTCACGAGACACCAGACGGAAGCCATGACTCCAGCAGTTGGATATGCACATGAGCCTGGCATATGCCCTCGCAATCTGCCCGCCTTCGTGTCCAAGACATCATGCACCTCAAGAACAGATATTGGCTGATATTGGCAGGGAAAGGGCGAGAACAGAGTTCGGTGGCACAAGCGCTAGACTCGACTTGTCGTATACTTGGGCCGGGCTCCTCTAGGCCCTTAAGCCGCAGCGAGGAAGGGGTCGAAGTTCTGGGGCAGTCTGACGACTGCTGCAGAGCCTGTAAACTACTGTACTGCCACTGCGGCTGAGGGTCCGCATCCATTTGTGCTTTCCAATTCTGTTCATCCATGTTTCCTTCACGAGTCAGACTCTGGCAGAAGACACACAATGCATGGATGCGAAGGAGCGGAGAAAAGCCAAGCTGCGCTGCTTCTCCATCTTTCGGACTGCATCACTATTCTTCTGAATGTCCACTTCGTGAGAAGCACTTTTCACGGTGAGCCCATTCACCTCCTCGAGCTGACGTACTTTCATCAAAGTCCCTTGCTTTGCTTCGTGGGTTCAGGGAAGCCGGCCTCCCGCAGCTTGAGGATGTCGCGCTTGTGCTCTCCCAGTCCTCCTTGCACCCCACTCATGCGGAGATCCAAGGCTCCCAGGCGGCGGGAGGCTTCCGCACTCCGGAGCTCCGCCTGAAGAGAAAGAGGACAAACATGCTCCAAGCATGCGAGAGGCCTGCCTGCTGTTCCACCGCACCGATCTTCTCGAAGGCCTCCTGCCTTAGAAGTCGGGCAGGGCTTCATGCATCCCACGCTCTGCTCAGACTGGCATCTCGTACAGGAGTTTATCTCCAAAGAGGGAGCAAAGCGGTGTCCGAGATGCTGCTTCTGGCGAATGTCGTTCTTCAATCGGGCTTCTGTATCGGCCACATTTCTTTCCAGGTCACTGCGCACCACGGCCACCTCGTTGAAGCAGTCGCTCAGAGAGTTCTGCGTCGTGTGCAGGCTCTCTTGCGTGGCTGCCAGATCCTTGTTCGTAAAGTCCTTGGAAGTCATAGGGATTGTACAATCATGCTAAGTGATGCGATGGACGCACGGCACATGCGAGGTGCTCATTGCTTAGGCCCCATCAATTCGACCATTAAGCGCGTTGACTGCCTGGTCTGTGTCACTCGTGATCTTGGCCTTGGACTCCTCAAAGAGAGGGAGACCGCTTCCAACCGGTGAACAAGCAACCCCTTCAATCCTGCGCCGGGAACACTACTCGCCCTCAAGATGGGCTGTGTGAAACGCACTGATAAGGAAACGAATCGCGCGCTGCTAGCCGCTAGCCGATCATCGACCGTCTGATGTTCTAGAGACGTGCTGGGTGGCGATGATGGACACTGATGGCTCCGTACCAAAGACTTGCAACCCCAGCTCCTCCAAGTTGGTCTCGACCGCCGTGATATCATGCCTGATGGTTGCGAGGATCTCGTCCACCTTGCGGCGCCTGGCATCCACGTCCAGGCGAAGAGACGAGACCATGTCACGGACAGTCTTGATCGCAGCATCCAAATCATCGTTGGCTTCCTGGCAAGAGGCATAGTTTGACAATCTTTGCTTGCAGATGCTTGGAAGTACTGAAGTAAGGACGACAGTCCTTCCAGGCAACATTGTCCACCTTCGTGTCCAACTTGGTGTTCATCTCATTCTTGAGGTTGATGATATCCTCGGTCAAGTTTTCTTCCTTCTCCTGCATCTGCTGGAGGGTGTTGGAGACATCCTCCATCCACGAGTCGTGGTTCTTCAGTGCTTCTTGAATATCACCGATGTCGAGGCGCATAGTCGAGATCTCGGCTGTCATCGTGGCCTGCGCCGCAGGGAATAAGTAACGGTCAGGTCAAGTGCGATCTTGCCTTGTAGTCTGCCTTGCACGGTTGAGGACTCTTGAAAGCGGGCCTCCACACGCTGCCTGCTGGTGATGATGGAATGTGTGGCATCAACACGGGCCCGCATCTCGTCAAGGTCGACATTGACGGCATCCATTGCAGCAGTGAAGTCCTGGCAACACGCGGCGGGGAAAAAGGGCGGCAAACAATGACTGCAAACAGCTCCGTGAACTCCCGCCTCCATGTCACGCTCACATGCCAGCACGATGCGGCGGATGTGATTGACTTCGCCTTTGTTGTTGCCTAGCAAATCCTTCAGCTCTCCGACGTCGTATTTCAGCTGGTCCAGATCCTGGCCACATGACCGGCAGCAACGGCATGTCGTGAATCTCTAGGGCAAGCATGCAGAAGTAAGCAGATGGTGCACTATGTATGTCGACAATGGCTTCAAAGTCCTCCGCCATGGTATCCAGTCCAGCAGCTCCGCCTGCACCATCCACTGGCTTCGTGGCGGCAGCCCCGCGGTTGACATGAGAAAGTTTTTTGTCAAAGTCCTTAGAATGCGAAGTCAGTCGCCCTGGCGCAGCAAAGTGCAGACACATGCTGGACCAGGTGGCCGTTTGGAGGTTCGCCAGTTGCGCTGTGATTTGCGACTCGAAGTCCTGTAGTCTCGTCGCCACCTTCCTTGTGACCGGCAATACGCAATAGTAGTATGCATAGACAGCCTGCTCAGTCGACTCCTATGCAAAAACTTCGCTGAGCTTTCTTGGCTGGCTCGCCAGAAGCATGGTCTGCGGCAGGGGCTCTTCATGATCTGAGCATCACCACCTGTTTTCCGCGATGGAAGGACGCCGCCTGCAGCTGAAAGGCTGTACTGAAAGATGGGGCAGGGAGGACAACGTCTTGCACTGTTAGGGCCTCAGTAGCACTGGGTTGTTTCATAGGCTATGCCGCTATGCCGCGTGTTCAAAGTGCAACCCCCATAACATGCCGGAATGATGCGATAAAGTCTATGGTAGCACTTACAAACAGAACATTAAACTGCGAAACACAACACATCGGAGGCTCCTATGTATTATACAGTTTGGTATCGTACGATATTTCTCGAGCTTGTAAGGCACAGAAACTGATCGAGGGACTAGTTTAGATTTGCTGTGTGAACGTGGCACTCTAAAGCCACTGGCAAAAGGCAGGGCACGCAGCCCCCTTATGTTTTCTGCTAGCCTGCTGGCTTCGCTCTCGAGAGGAATCCCACCCTTCGGACAACACTTCAGAGAAGCTCACTCACATACATGCTGTGACATCATGGGATAACCTGAACTTGCACTGTGCTACAAGCAATTGAAAACCATGATATGCACTACCCTGAGGGTCCCCAAACCCTAAGAGACCTTCGCCGCCGTCGGCTTCCAAGGATTTTTCAATGGCCGCAAGGCGCTTCTCCAACTCTTCCAGTGTGACCTGGGGCCAGCCAGGGCTTGCTTCGCACAGACTGACAAACAGGGTGAGGATTGAATGAGGGTAGGCGAGAAAAGATGGCTTGCACGAGTAGCAAAATGAGGTGCTACTGAAGCGGTGCCATTCTTTCCCGCAGTGCAACTGTCTGTGCCTTGCATGCGAGTTGCCGTCATAAATTCCAAGTAGGCCGACCGCTTGCGACAACCGCGCTGTCTTTGCGCAGCAATGCAAATTTCACGAGAACTTGAGCACCAAAGCAAAAACATGAACACACTGCGGTCGACAAGCACCTGGAGCTACTCTCCACTGACTCTCCACTCGTAGTTCACGGCAAGCCTTCCAGTTGTTGCCACTGCCATCGTGTGTGCGTGTGTGTGTCACTGCTTGCCTCGTGTGGATTTGGAGCGAGCGCCGCTCCTTCCAGTTCTTGCCGACACAGGGCCTTGCGCCAACTTGCAAATTCACATTCCGAATTTCCCACAAGAGACACAGGCGCATCAGACTCCTCACAACTCTCACTTTTCAGCCGCGAGATCTGTACGGGTCCGTCGGTGCACGGCTCGACGTAAGCTTGCGCGCTAACAGTTTAACAACTGAGATCAACGAGCTAACCAAGACTGATGTTGATCGTACACATTGTGCTGCCAGTTTCCTCTGCTAGACGCGAGCTGGCGAATATTGCACCCTGCTCGCAGGTTGTTGCTGGTTGCGTCATCTGATTCAAGGCATGCGCGGCTCCAAGCGACATGCTTTCGAGTCACTTGGTGAGGCTTTGCTACCCAGTGGATCATGACTATCAGCTCAGAAGACCACCGTGGCCAACATGCACCCCAAGGACTGCCTCAGCCAAGCAAGTCCCAAAAAAAGAATGTTGGCTTAGAACCAACATGCATAACTGCCAATTAATGGTGCCGTGCGTGCATCGCGTTACGGCTGCACTTCGTCGGGGTCTGCTGAACTATGGGTGGCGGACTGTGATTCAACTCGTGCATCTGCACTGCGTAAACTGGATGCTTGGCAGAACCGAGGAACAGGATATTGTTGTTCATGATCTCCTCAATGTCACGCTCAAGCCTCTTCTTGGCGTCGATCTTGCCGGCCTTGGGCGCAGGGCGCACATCACGCAATCGGTCGAATCACTACGAATATGGGGCTCGCCTGATTGACGACAAACTCGTCTTCAGTACTCTTGAACTCCTCCTGAATCACTTTGTTGTATTTCTCCTTGGAAGAAGTGGAAGTGGCTGGAGAGCTTAGAAAGCACATCTTACATCCAGGCAAGACAGCTCGCCAAAGTTGCGCCAAGGTTCAGTGAGGTCTAGCATCTCCTTCACCTGATAACCAGGGCTTTCAGCACGCGGAGTTGCAGCAATGTGGCGATGACACGCAGAGCGCCCCACCGTCTTCTCATTATCACCCTCGTGCGTGTCGAAGTTGGTGAGCTTCAATCCGTCCTGGCGATGGGCCACAAGCCAAACCGCCAACAAGCACACCAGTTTAACAACCGATCCTGCCACTTCTTCTTTCCGAGGTTTAGCAGCATCTTCTGCTCCAAATCGTTTTTTCGGTAGTTGATTGCGATGGAGTAGTAGTGGCCTCACAGGTTAGGTGCAGAAACCCGTCCATCTGGCCCTGGCATAGGACTAAAGTTGTCCCGTGCAAACGCAAACCTCCCACTCTTGCTGCAAAAAAGAGACGGTTCAGACCATGGATCAAAGCAGTAATGCTGGGCTTGTTCAGGTGGCCAATGTTGGATGTCGTCTGCCTGGGCTCCTCGCTGGCTTTGACGAGTAGCCGGCTAGTAGACTGATACGCAGTTACATTAGGCTATGGCATGTTCTGTTATGCTATATTATGCTGTGTTACGTTGCACTATGCTGTATCATGTTACGTGACTGCTACACCATGCCATACTATGTCATATTGGCCTAAACTGGGGGTGTATCGCTTTAAATACCATGAAGGTATGCAATACTGTGTCATATGTCATTTTCAATCCAATCTATTTCATACTGTACCATATATTAGAGCGTATCCGAACAAAGCAAAAAAAAAGTATCCTGCATTATGCTATACAGTACCGTACTGTTGTGGTTATATTACGGTATTACCTTATAATGATTTGTAATACCTTTTACTTATATGATTATTTTCGGTTGTTATGTATGACCTCATGTTATTGCAGGTTACAATAAAAACACGGTTTTGGATTACACTCTCGCAACGGGGAAAGGGTATCTTATATTCGACCATGTCAAAACATGGCAAAGTTAGATAAACCAAATTCTCATGTCATAAATACTATACTATACTATGAGACTATGCTATACTAGACTAGAGACTAGGTTCACCAGACCAGACTAGACTGTATTGTGCTGGATTAAGAGATGTAATACAGCACTAAATGATGTCATATTATACCATAGAATCCTGCACTATATTTTTCTATGCTAAACATACACACAAATTGCACCGTACTAGGGCGTTTTATGTCATGTCCTGTCGTGTCAGATTGCGTGATCCTGAACTGGGGCAAGATTACAATGCATATTTTTAGTTTTCGCTATAGACTATAACGTGTCACATTTGGGTGCGCGTAAATGGTTACATACGGAAAACAACCTAGGTTGTGCATTAAGTTATATATCGCATGTTGTATATGACAAGTCATACACTATAGACCATACACTGCAATGCGTCATGCTGCGTTTCGTTGTTGCAAAGTATGTCTTATACTTTACTTGTTGCAGTGCCGCATAGTATCTCTTGTCTAGTTCTTGTTAAAAACTGTGTAGTCTGTATTAGCATTAAATACGTGAGAGCGTATGTCGTTCTACGTCATATGTTATACAGGCATGTATAAACGCATATATATATATATGTGTGTGTGTGTGTGGGTGTGTGTGCATGTATGTATGTACGTACGTATAAACCTGTAGACAGTACATATATATATACACATATATATATACATATATATATACATACATATATATATATATTTATATATATATATATTCATATTCATATACACACATATGTATATAAGTATCTACATACTTGTGTGTTGTTTGTTATGAAGACATTGTAGTGCCCTGCATGGTGTCCTCTTACCTTTACAAAATCATACTACACAAAATAAGGTTGCATAAATGGGGAAATATATATATATATACACACACATATCAAGTGTAAGAATATACATTACGTCTTCTAAAATATGCACTATGTACTATGCAGTATATGTTGTGTATCGTACAAAACTGGTTCTACACCACAGGCACAGAAATTAGTGTTATATACTATGCATTGTGAACATTCTGCTTATGTGACCCACCTGGCACACTTGTAGCAGCCCCTCCTGGCAAAGAGACGTATTAGACACATAATATATAAATATATATGGGTATAATTGTTCCCTCACAATAATGGATGACGATGCCGATGTTGATGGTGGTGATAACGGGGATGAGGAAGACGATGATGATCATGATGATGATGACCATCACGAAGCATTTGGCTGCTTAGCCCTTTGATCTTGGCACCTCCCGGAAAATGTCATGGATGCTTTAAAGAGCATTCGGGATGAGCACTTTCAAACAAGTCCCAGTTTTATGGCCAACATAATGTACTCCAAGTAAGACATCGAAAAGGAATGCGACCTGCCAGACACTATGATGCTACGAGCTTTCATGGCGTTCATGGCGTATGGCATGGTGAAGGTATGGAAGTGTTCGACTTGCCAGTCTTTTTGCGCTAATTCTACGCTCCAAGAGGCCCTGCCAACAGTCTTTACTGGATGTGCAAAACGAACTACTCACGCAAACACTTCCAGAAGACTGTTACCGTACCAGCTCTGGCGGCCTTGGATAGCCTTTCTGCATTTCCTTGTCTCCATGGCATGCTATGAGAAGATGATGAGAATCGAGGACGAACTGCTGAGTGTACATGGCACAAGCAAGAGTACTGTCTGTCCACAGATGGCCGGCATTTGTGGGGAAGGCGGGAGTCCGCGTGGGCAAACCAGCATCCAAGCTAGGATCAATGACCGGACGTCCTGTGCGCATTTCGAAACAGACACACATACATATATATAAATATATTATATATTGATGTATATATATATATGTATACATATATGTATACATATATGTATACATATTTATTTGTTTCTATTCATTTGTTTATTCGTATACATATGCATATGCGTGTTCTGCAAATCGGCACAGCTCAAAGCATCTTCTCCTGCCCCAGCATTAGCATCTGATGGTTGATAAGCCTGAAGCAGTCGATCACGACCTTACCCTTCACGGACTGGATGGGATCCACCACCACACCCACTGCCCGGGGGTTCAACTGCTCGAAGCTTTGTTGGGTGTTGATGTCCTGGGCCAACTTGCAAACATGCAATATCTGTCCAAGTGCAACATGCTCGAGGTGTGGGCCGTGCCCGAGAACCAGCACCCGAAGCCAGGGTGAGAGTGGTACCAGCCAACCACCATTTCCGGCCTGGCAGGTCGAGCCACTTCTTGAGATAGAACTGTGCTTGGTTTGCTCCCCGCCTACCCGTTTGCTTTAGCATGTCCAGCATCTTGGCTTGGAACACCGGGTCTACCGCCTGAGGGAAGCAGCACTAAGAACTGAATGTCTGATGCGTTCAGGTGTCCGAAAACTTCTCTGCCTCGACGCTCACGCTGTTTCCTGACTGCGGCATCGAGAAGACATCCACTACGCGTACCTTCCATCGGCACGGTGCTTCAAATCAGAATCTGTCAGCCGCGGGTCCCAAAATGGCGTCCGGGTGGCGGTGTAGTCATCAATGAATTCCCCGAGCATAAGGCCCATAACCTCCATTGGAACTCCAGCGCGGCCGTGCTTCAACATCTTCCTTGCACTGTCAGGCTGTCATCTACGCATGCCAGGACAGAAGGCCAACCCAAACAGTTTTCGATCGTTAGTTCGTGGTCGCTAATGCAATGCGAGTGAGAGTCAGCAAAGCCAGAGAAGAAATGTAGACCTGCACAAGTTGTCCACCAATCGTCACAGACACTGCAATCCAAATCCATGCTGCCTGCTCGGCGGTGTCTGTTAAGGAAGCATCTTCCTGTGGCTGCTGACCACCACCTTGCAGCCGCAGGACAGGCCCATTTCATCTGCGAGTGGACATGTTCAAAGACTTGTGGCTTGACAACGGGACCGCCTGCCATACCTGGCATGTTCCCCAGGATCCGCTGAAGATTGAAGTTTCCCGCCATGGTTCTCCTCGGGCGGCGGGTCCTGTGCGCCAGCAAGAGATTTACCCGAGAATTTGCATGGCATTCTCTTCTGTGACTTGACTCTAGCTGCATCAGACCTCGGGACCAGTGAATGAATGTTGCGGCTCCAGGCTTGAGCCCAGGCTTGCGATAGCCGCGGAAGCTTCCAGAGACAAGATGGCCCGTGGTGAGGTCTTCACATGGCTTCTAGTTGAGGTCCTGTTCCCTTCCAGCCCTTTCAGTTGTGGATACTTGACACAGCCTTCCTAGGTCGAGTCTAGTGCCTCGATGGCATAGCGGATTGGCGAGATGCTTCGCCTAAGACGAGGCTCGCCGCATCTCTGGGGTGCCATGTTGGTGCGGCAGAGATGGCAAGTGCAAGACGAGTTCCCGGTACACAGGCCCAGACAAAGCGATCATTGAAGCGCTGGGTGATGCTGCAGCACCGCCCGCTGGGTCAATGACACCAGTCAACATGTGCACGGTCCTTGCTCATGCAACGGAAACATCGGGTGCGGTGCGGATGTGCCATGACGTATCACGAAACCGTCAAGTTTTGAATGGATAGGACTTGCTCCATCGCCACTACAGTCACTACCGCGCCACTGACACGCCGAGGCGGAAGCATGACGGGGATGCCAGCAGTCATTGCCCGCTCTCCATTAGGAATAGCTGCCCCTTTCCAAAAGGCAACGTTGCCCGAAGAGGATCGCGTTACAGTCTGACTGCATGACGATGCATCACGTCGTTGGCCCTACCGCATGTCTCATTCACATGTACAGCGAGTTCGGATGCCGGCGGCCTATCGCGAGTCCGAGAGCCGCACAGACGAGTGCCTTGCAGAGCTGAGTGCTGAGCACGGATCACGTGGGAAGTGTCAAGGGTGCTTCGTAAACACATAGCACAACACGCCCCCTGTTCAGATGCCCACGGCTGAGGCCAAGGCCACCAGTGAGTAAACTGCTGCCAATGCTATGAACGGTGTCCGGAGACCACAACGGAGATGCACCATCAGTGCCTAGCTGGAGGGCGAAGTCTTTGAGGGCTTGTGTTCAAACACTTTTCACGAAACCATTGAGGCTGAGCCCGGCACAAAGAAGCAAGCAAACCTCAGCCAAACCGTGCGCCCCTCTGCAGACGGAAACGTGGTAGTTTCGTGTTTGCCGGATCAGTGAATCAGATACCAAAGTGCTTCCCTGCAAGACGTGCTAGTCGAGGGAGTTTGCACACTTGAACTCTCACAGAAATTCACCCTGCTGCCGCAACAATGCAATGGCGGCTGGGTTCCACAATGCCGCTGCCGGATGCCTTCTATACCCTGGCTTGGCAAGAATGCAAATCGGGGGGATTTCACGGATTTCACGTGCTTGAATATGCCACGCAGGTGCTGCATTGAGGAAGTTTCCAGTGCCCCTCGCACCAGACACGCGACATTATGCAACACGATCATGACGTGAAGGATGACCGAACCTGATGCTCCTCCCTCCAGGTGCCACGAGGTGGTAAAAAAACCCATCTCGCCACCCTCCCTGTCCCCTACAAATGTAGATGTGACTCCTGTGACTGCTGACTAGCTACTTGTAACGGGGCGCGAACACCCACACACGCAAACGAAAGAACGGGCGAACACATGAGCTCCCACCCACAGGAGTACGGTGCGGACAGGCACCGGTTGTGTCTGGAAGTCTGCATGCAGCAAAAACCCATGCAACTCAAGACGGAGCGCTTGAATTGTCGTGACGAGCATGTCGTCACAAACGGCTGAGGTCTCATGACTCAGGCTGTTTTGTTCTTAGCTGGGTTTCCGGCAAGGCATCTGACGGCAGCTCGGCCACGGCTTTGGCGCAGAGATACGTAAATCCATTGTAGTAGCCAGCAGCTCCTAGGCCGCGAGCACAGAGTTTTTTTTGGAACCACAGGAAGCAGCACGCAGCACTGACCCGGATGGCCAAGCCGAGGATTCTGCGCTCTCGCCCGACCACCTTCTTCTCCTTCGCGAACTGATCCAAGGCTCTCATCTCACCGATAAAGGCCTCGATCCCCGACAAGACTTGGGACTGGCGAGGGTTGTGGGCCTGAGCACTAGGCCATCGAGATGGAACCGAAGGACAGCAATCCAACCTGAGACTCGAAAGGATGAAGGTGCACCTACTGCCTTGCAGCTACACTTAGGCTGCGGCACGTGAAGTAACACCAACGGCGGTCCTGGCAGGAAAGGGGCTTGACATGAGCGAATAATCCGGTGTACTGTGACTGGCGAGCGCGCATCTCTTCTCCGAAGTATCCGAACTGGGCGCCAAAGATCAAGCCTGGAATGCTTTCAAGCACACTTGCAGGACATTATGTGAGTTGCAGCACCTAGCCCGGCAGTGGCCAGCAGGCGGGACAAATTCGTGGCCTGTACCGCCCAAGTACGACATTTTCATCACTGGCAGTTGGTCACTTCACGGCACCTTGTCTCGAGAGGTTTGCAGCCAAGCTCTTCTAAGAAGAAGGTGGAAGCCATGAAGTCCACCAAGACGTGAAACATCTGAAGATTCTCCTTTGCCTCTCAGGCGGATTATTGCATATCAGCACATGTTTCGGGGTAAGGCGGTGTCCAACCTTGAGCCGGCACCGCCTCTGAAACCACCATGGCGCCCGCCAGCCTGAGCATGAAGGGAGAAGGACACAGAAGGACAAAGGACAGGCAAATATTCATCAACCACTGGCCTTCTTATCCTCTGACGGTCCTGCTCCGCTTCAGGTCCACCAGTGTGCACCGATATCAAGTCGATCAAGAAATCAGCGGGGTTCACCTGCAAATCTTGGGTCACGCGGCTTTGCAAGGCAGGCGGAGAAAGCACTTTGCAGCTGAGAGGGCTTACCCCTTCGCGAGGGCAGGCATGTCCCAGTCCTTCAAGATTTGCATTTGGGGTTGCAATCGGTCGATGGGCCGACAACGTCGGACCCACGCGGGATTCTTACGCAGAACAGACACTCGGACTGCCACCTTCATTTTACTCAATACGCACAGAGGTCTTGTCACATTGGTAGGGGAAGAGACGACCCAGGGCCAACACACAGAC